TGTGTGTGTGTGTGTGTGTGTGTGTGTGTGTGTGTGTGTGTGTGTGTATGCGTGTGAAGCGTACCTGCCTCATAGACATTGCCTGCTCGGACTCTAATCGCCTGGAGAATTAGTGATGTGACTTGGCAGAGGGAAGCAGGCACAAAACAGAGCCAGGCACAGCGCCTGAGAGAGGGATAGAAGAAGAGGAGAGACAAAAAGAGGAGAGCGAGAGATGGAGGGGTAGCGAGAGGGGAATAGCTTTTCTGTTCGCCGCCGCGTACAGCGCTCAGTAAAAAGGAAGACTGTGAAGATGGGGCAGGATAGGTTTTATCAAGCGTTATTTTCTTTACCTCTGGATTAATTGATGCTGGTTTTTTTCTGTCAAGGGGAAAATGGATCAATATTTCATCGTAAGAGTGCGTTGTGTTTTTATGTGTGTGCGTGTACCTGTTTTACATACATGCACTTGTTGTATGCAAGTACACATGGACATGTGTACAAATGTGTGTGTTCACATAAGGGACATCAGGAAAGGGCAAATGGTGAGTTGAGAATGACTTAAACGGGCCGGCTAACAAATCGAGACAAGTAATTCGACTTACCATGGCCACCCGCCATATTTCCTTCATTTTTGTCCACCTTCATGTTCATTCTTTTTGACATGGGTAATTTTTTTTTTTTACATGAGAATATTTCTCTTCATTCTCCCTCTGGCTTCTGATTTTCATCCTCCGGTCTTTGTCTCTGGTGCTTTTGAGAGCAGCAGAGGAGCTCATGAAACTGGGACAGAGGAAAACATCTCACAGCACAGAGACAAAGAGGAAACAGAGAGAGGCTGTCTAATTTCTCACTCTGGCAGCAAAAGGCTTCATGTTCTGTGTGCCTTCGTGGAGTCGCATGTTTGTCTGCATGTGCGCGCACCTGGCCACAGACAGATTTTAGTAAATTGTGATCTTTCTGAATTGTTAGCAGACAATAAAGCTGTCGTCGGCACAGACTTGCATGTGACTTACAAATGGAGCTTTTCGGCTGTGTACCAGTTGTTTGGACCCCGGCTCATATTCTTCATGTGGCATTTGCAGTGTCAGGCTTGTGTGACATTTATTTTGTCTGGGGAAGAGTAAATCAGTGTTACTCCCTCAAGGCTGAACATCTTTGTCATGGGGGAGTGATTGCATAATCCTCCTGTGAGATCACAAGGCCTGTAGGAAATATAAGACGACAGTGTTGTCTGCGGCTCCAGGCACAGCTGTCTGTGGATGTTTCATGCATGTGCACAAGCAAACAGTTGCGTGTGTCTATGAACCGTATGACCACTCCGTTAGAGCCTAAAGCTCCTACAGGCCGTATGCTCATCACATATGCAAATCCAGATTTATACATTAAATTTGAGGATTTTCCTCTGCATGCGTGTGTCTTTGTCTAGCTGTCTGCCAGCAGGGGGCATTTTATTTGAAAGCCTTACCGCACAGACCTTTACGGAATTTTCGGCTCTGGTTGTGGCAGGAGGACAGACAGTAAAATGGCCCTGACAATGAAACAAACGGATAAATATCGAGGATTGATATTAATATGTTTTACAATGTACTCTAACTAAATCTTTCTTATTTCTGCAGGATGTGATCCAGTCCATTTTGTACGGATGTGTCCAGGCGCTTCATTTAACATCGGACTGCATCGGCATCGATAAAAAACGACGGTAACCACCCAATATGAAGAATAAACTGTTTCTCATTTTAGAGTCTACTGTTGTTACACTGTAAGATGCTACGTATCTATCTGAAGTTAAACATGTATTGATGTGCAGTTTTATTGTCGAAATGTAATCTAATTTAATTTAAATAACGGATAATTCCTAATAAACGTACATGCTACATTTACATACCGGCATACGTACATACATCACAGAAATATATTTTTTTAATTATAAAATTTCAGGGCTGACAGAAATACTTAAGACGCGACGGATTTTACTTGCGGACGAGGCTGATTGAACAGCTAACTGAATGACGGTGTGCTTCATTGTCCCTGAGACCCTTAACCTGTGATGATATGAAAGGTCACAGGTGAGGTCCTTGGGAACAAAGTTGCATGCAGTTGCATCTGGAGGCTCCAACATTTCGTGTCATTAGATGGAGAGAAAACATATTACAAGTTGTGTACTTTTTTTTAAATCATAAGACTATCTGCAGAGCAGTTTCGACTGCATGAACTCATCTGGCGAGAATTCCCCGACCTTTCCAGACATCATGGAAAGCCAAGAAGAGACGACGTGGTTCTCTGGAGGGGGCAGTTCCTTTTGGCTAGCTTTGTGAGCTGAACACTTGCATGGTTCAATAAAAAGACAGCCAAGGATCATGACCCCGATGTATGATTCACATGGAATTTTTATAAGGTGTTCACAGACACTTAAAATTACAACATCCAAGAGCTGTTGGTCACATTAAGACAGCCAAGTGTCATCACCTTGATGCTTATTCATTTGTAGACATTTTAAAGCTCCTCACAGCAACTGAAAATATCTGTTGATGTTTAACATTTAATAAAATATGTTGATAAGAAAAAAGTGCATTCTCATCATTTCTCATTTTCTCAATTAATCCATTAATCATGTGGTCTATAAAATGTCAGAAAATAGTGAAGTGTAAACGATTAATTGAATATCAAAATAGTTGCCGATAAATGTACTGTTGATCAATTGATTAATCAACGGGTTGTTGCAGCTCTACGCTTTCCTGTTTGTTATGGATGAGTGATTTGTGGATGTTTATTAATGGAAAATATGAGAATAAAATTCAAAAAATGGGGAGAACTTGTGTTGTTTCTGTTAAATACCATGTAAATCCAATAAATACTGAAAAGGTTTTTTTTTAAACGTGATTAGCTGTTTTTCACTGGTGTTTTGTGGTACGTAAGCAGCATAAGAGGCATTTTTCCTCACCCAGTCAGGAGTTTACTATGAGATAAACATTTCAGATCAGTGTAGTAATGATCAGCATGGGATATTAGGCACCTACAGAGAACACAAATATAACTTGTCACATGTTATGACTACTTAACAAAGCACCAGAGCCTGCAGTTTTCATGTGAATAAATGAGAGTGACGTGGTCCTCTTTCAGACTTGCCCTGACACTCAGCCAAGGTGGCTCAGTGTTCCCTGGCTCTCAGCCCCCCCATGTGTTTGTGCATCCCAGGACAGTTGACATTGATTGTGCAGGAGACAGACTGAGACACATTAGTACCCAGCTCGTTCCTGCCGCTGAAAAACACATTAACTGGCTGCATTGGGAGCCCTGTCTGGTAACCATGGCAAAGCACACGGGGAGGGAGGAGGAGGAGGAGGAGGAGGGTTGAGACGGGGCAGCGGGTTCAGTGCGCAGTCTCTCAGGGGTTGTCTTTCTCAAACGCTCCTTTCCTTTCCTCCGGCCACGTCTGTCATTTTCTCTATGCCTCTGTCTCCCTCTTTTGAACTGACAGCCTGTCTCTCTCTCTGGCTCTCCTCTGCTCACACACATACAAACACAATTTGCATATTTCTTTCTCTTCTCTTGCATTCTTCTTATTGACGCTGACCT